TGCTCTAAATGTAGCGGGCGCTACCGCTACCGCTACACCCACTAGATTGTAGCGAGCGCTACCGCTACCGCTACAGTAAAATGTAGCGCCGCTACATTAGCCGCTACAATGGCCAAAATTATTGGAAATATCTAAATATTTATTGTTCTGCTATTGGGATTTACTCATAAACATTTAATGATAATAAAACATTTTCAAAACATATCAATGCAATTTTATTGCAATTAACCTAACCAAATTAGTATTGATGGGTTAGATACAGTAAATAAAAATTAGTTATTTTTATGTTTTACCTTCCCTACATGGATGTCTACTTTAATCTACCAATCTCAAAAATTATTCACATATACTTATAAAAATCAGTCTTTTCATCAGTCTTTTTAAAATCAGGTTGGACAAAATAATTGGAACACTACACTTATTAGTACCTATTTGTTAAAACCCTCCTCTGTCCAAAATATTCATCAGAGTTACATTATATTGGTATAAATATATAATTAATATATGCTGTTTTTACTATTACAGGTATATTGCACAATCTATTCTAGATTTATTTAAAAATTAGTTAATTTGCATGACTCAACTGATTTCGAAAAAGGGCAAATTGTTGGTGCTTGCATGGCAAGAGCTCTGATCACCAGAGTCGCTGAGGTTTTCAGTTTTTCGAGAGCTACTATATCAAGGAGACAAGGACGATGATGCAATTAAAAAAACAGGGGAAAACATCTAATAATCGCACTAAATGTGGACATGTGGTCGACCCTCAAAGCTATCTGATAGGGATCAAAGAACATTAAACTGCATTATGAAAAAAATAGGTGATCTATGGCTACAAAGGTGCGTGCAGAGTTAAATCAGCATCTCAGCAATGAAGTTTCTACCAAAACCGTTCGTAGTGAGCTTAATAAGGGTGGATACCATGAAAGAGCCGCTATCAGGGAACCTCTACTTTCTTCTGGAAACATTCAGAAGCGGATGCTGTGGTGCAAGGACCACAAAACCTGGTCTCCAGACCAGTGGAGGTGAGTAATATTCTCAGACAAGTCTAGTTTTTCCCTATTTCCTACTTCAGGACATGTTTGTGTGGAGGCAGCCCAAAGAAGCATTCAACCCAGACTGTCTTCTTCCAACGGTAAAGCATGGAGGATGTTTAGTTATGTTTTGGGCAGCTATATCGTGGGCTTCTCTTAGTCCAATTGTTGCCTTGCATGGCAGGATCAACTCCAAAGATTACCTGAACATTTTGGGAGATCAGGTGCATCCAATGTGCCAAACATTGTTTCCTGAAGGTGACGCCATCTTCCAAGATGATAATGCTCTGATACACATGGCCCGAATCATTAAAAATTTGCATGAAGAGCATGATAGCAATCTTGAACATATGAATTGGCCCCCTCAATCTCCAGATCTGAATATCATTGAACATTTGTGGAGCATGCTTGAGCAACAAGTCAGGAATCGATATCCTCCACCCTCCTGTCTGGATGAACTGGAGAAGGTTTTTATGGAAGATTGGCTGAAAATTACAATAGAACAAGTCAAGAAGCTGTATGATTCGATTCCCAGATGTATTGAAGCTGTATTGAAGCTGTATTGAAGGCTAAAGGGGGTCCAACTCCGTATTAAATAAAGTTTCTCTAAATTTATCAGGTGTTCNACCGCTACCACCACATTACCTTAAATGTAGTGCCGCTAACGCTACTGCTACTGAAAATGTAGTGTTCTACCGCCCACCTCTGGATATGATTGTGCAGAAGTGTTGAAGGCTATGTTCTGGAAGGCAGGAATCATGATGGCCCATTACATGTACATCCAATTCCACCTGTACATCCATCACATGTACAGGTGGAATTGCCGAGCTCCTGCAAGAAGCAGCCGACTGAGTCAGACTGACACCTTGTTGCCGGGTAGATGTCTCACGTTGTGGGTGAGGTAACCGTGTTACCTACTTTGAGTTTGGTTTGGCAACAACCCTTCTATCTAGTATGTTAAAGTCAAATGAAAGACTGGTGCCTTATATCTCAAATTGAAGTAAAAATACAGTGACAATGTAATGAGTGAATAAGTTTAATGGCATTCAGGAGTTATGAGTTATAATTAGGGATAGGGAAGGGAGCATGGACAGGGTTACACATATTCCATCATTGATGAACTGAAAAATAAAGAATACAAAAGCCAATAACCTGTCCACTGAATAATAATGCTAAGCCTGAAGAGAAATTGTATGTTAAAACTGATGCAATAAATATTTAAAATAGATTCTTAATTGATAGCAAGCTGGTTGCATGCAGCAAGCAAGAAAATATGAAAAACAAAACAGACAAACATTATAATATTTGGAGTGAAATTGGGAAACAATTGCAAAGATAAGCTAAAACCAGAACCAGGATAAACTGCTCAAGCAATTTGTAAAAGTAGTGACGTTATTGAGATGAATACACAAAAGCAAATCATTCAAGAATAAATTTCAAGCTGACAGTTGACATGAGAAATTCAATAAACATTAGATGAAAAGTAAAGCACAAACAAAGCTAATTAATCAGATTAGGAGGTAGCAAAATTGTAGGACACTTACAAAACATCTTTGCAATTAAAAGGATCACACCTAACTAGACTCACCAACAACTTGTGGCAGTTCCACTTAATGACTCGTCAATTTAGGGATCAGTAACTGCACTTGCATGGTCCTCCAATCATTATCACAATAATTGACCAAGTTGCAATAAATAGAATTAGTTTACAGGCTGAAAAGAACAGGAAGAAAACATACATTCAACAATAATTAATAAGTAAACATTAATTCAACAATAATTCATATATAGAGAGCAGATGGTTGGGTGAAAAATATGGTAGAGGCCTCCGGGCAACAACATATCGGTAATGGAGGAGATAATCGAATTCTATGATTGGAGGTACTTTTAGATCTTGCTAATGACAGATAATCTGTCATAGGTCTTGGTCGTGTTACTACGTGCAACCAATATTTGCATAAGTCAGGCAAAAACGGTGGGAACTGTGGGGGGGGGGTGTGAAGGGCTGCTATATTCCACTGTTACCTATACTCTTAGATGATGACACAACATTGATTACATAATAAAACTTTTAAGTGATGGCACAACATTTCCAATTGTTATTCCAATTTGCACTGCTTCTCAGCTTCCTAAATAAGTCATATATTCTACTCATTAGTTACTAATATTCATTATATACTTATGTAACTAATATTACTGCACTGCACTTGACATTTACCACCATAAATACAAAGAAGATTGTTTTCAATAATAACAAGATAAAACATAATTCCTCAAGATCATTCAAACAGTTCTTATTTTTGTTTTAATTTTAATCAATAAATACAAAGAAGATTGTTTTCAATAATAACAAGATAAAACATAATTCCTCAAGATCATTCAAACAGTTCTTATTTTTGTTTTAATTTCAATCTCTCTGAAATGGCAATATACTACACTTATTCCACTTCATCCATGTGATCCTCTATATGAATAAGAAGAGTATATATAGGTAATTATATCTCAAACCTATGTTAGCAATCCTATATAAACATATGTGACACATGACATTGTTCTGCATGGTAGATATCTGTTAAGAGAGATCTGTTATCAAAAAAATTGCCTCTTGGTCACAGGGCTTCAAATCAAGGTGTAAAAATCTTGAATACAGTACATTAAGCTCCTCTAATTTGCATTAAAGGGAGATATGCCTGAGTCAGGTTATGTAGTGTCTAAATAAAATTAATTATTTCAATCAACAGGCAATATTCATACTCTTTAGGTTAATTTTCTTTCCTACTTGTCTCTGTGAATAACTGCAACCAACAATGGTGGGACTTGATCACAGTGAACTAATGGCCCTGGTAAGTCTTATATCTGAAATGTCCTATTCATAAACTATATTATGTATGTTTCTTTGAATTCTGATACTTATTTGATAACAACTTTGAACAATATTTCTTAATTTCCTGTTGTAGAAAATGATTCACTTGGATCTTGGAAATTATTCACTTTTTTACTTTTAGTATTTTTTATAATTATAAGTATAACAAGTTTTAAAGACATCTTGCTATTCCTATTTCAAGTTTTGTATGCTTCTATGTTATATATTCATTTACAGCACCAAGAATATGAATGGGTCCTCACTGAAGAGCTGCCTCGTGCCTATTCTCAGCTTACACATGTGCTAGAGGTAATAACGTTATTTTTGGGCTCACTTGGTTCTGTTTATATTTTGATGTAACCAAATAACATAGATATAATTATGCATCAAAGGTTAACAAGATTTTTGAAAAATACTCATCAAAATTGAAATTGTTTGTTAAATTTATAAGAAAATTTCAAAATCACACAAATTAAAATTTTTTTTTGTTTGAATATTTGGCAATACATAATTATGATAGTAGAAAAAGATCATAATCACTTTTTTCAATAAGTTTTTTTTGTGGTGAAATTGATTTGATGTTCATAATGCAATAAATTAATATCTTGGCCATAATGAAGTCTATTGCAATTCTGTCTTGTGTAAAAATTTTGTATTACCTTTGCAGTTAGTGGGGATATTATAATTTTTTGTAAGTAATTTTCAAAGTATTACAAAATACTGTTATGAGAATGTTTAGCCAGTTATGGCCGGTTTTGATGATAGCTTATTCATTATATTACACCAGCTAATGTTTCTTTTTCCATCAGGAATGTGTGCAGCTTTTTCCAATAAGCGATGGAGATGGCAGCACTGTGACCAAGTCTGAGAAATTCATTATGTCTGCTGCACCTCACACAACTTTAGATCATGTTAAGGCAGTGGTCACAATATCCGGGGACTCCATCATGCAGGCTGTAAGTCACGCTAAACTAACAAATGCTAATGACAGATAATCTTAACTTGAACTTAATATCTTCTAAAGGTTGTAGGTTTTGAAAGATTCAAAAGCACCTTCCACAAAACTTGTTCATAAAGGTGTCCTAATCTTTGATTGGAGTGAATCTACTGTTTTGTTTAAAATTAATATTGTAAAATGTTTCAATTTGGACTCCCTTCCATGTTAGTGATTATTGTTCATAAATTTTTATCATGGAAAGAGTGCAGATTAATGATTGGTCTTATAGAATAGAGAAATCTTATGTATGGCTGGTACATCCCTTCACATGAATGGATGCACCTATACCAGCAAGAACTTTCCTTTTTATTTATAGGGAACCTGAACCATGTATTAGCCAAGTTATTGCACCCTCAAAGAGTTTTGTACTTGAAAGTAATGCTGTACTGGATGAATTTTTAATCAGTTTATCCAGTGAATTCAGTACATTTAAGTACTCAAATCTTTTAATATGGAACAGAAACAACATTTTGTCTTGAGAATTTTATTTCTATATTCATCATCAACGGAATCATTCTATTGAAATATTAAATTCCATAAATTAGATATGTCATTTCAGCTCATTATTGAAGAGATAAATTTTCAGTTATTTCATGAAATTATGAATTCTTTCTTTTGCAGAAGTTTTTGCAGCCTTTACAATTTATGGAAATTTATACAATTTATATCCTTGATAGAAATTTAGAATTTTTCTTGATATAGTGCTCCAAATTCATCAAGGAAAATTTTACTAAAGAAATACCGTAATCTGCTTCAGGACATCAATGTTCGTCTGGGTGTCAGTGATGGCAAGCGTAGTGGTGTGGCATCAGGTGGTAGTGGAAGTGGCAGCAGTGGTAGTGGCACCAGCAGTGCCTTGCAGCGCACTAGCGTCACGCCTGATGCGCCGTGGCGATTGCAGCAAATACAAGATGCATGCAACTACCTGAAGCAAGCGCTAGTGCTTCTCCAGAACAATGATCTTCCCAAGTAATTTCATCTGAAACTTTAATTATAAAGCTTTAACTTCAATACATTTCATGGTAATGTTTGGAATTCAGCAGCTTATACTGTATATTCAACTACAATGATACATTTCATACCTAAAAGAAACTTTGCTGAGTAGACCACAGATTGTAGAAATCAAAATAAACCTGGAAAGTTGCGTGCCACTTGAGAGTAAATTTATAAATAAATTATATTCTACAGAAATTTATTGAACTGCCATTCATGATTTCCATAACAACAGTATGAATGTGTTACTAACATCTTTAAATAATTTTAATCCAGGCTTGCTGACTGAAATGAATTTGCAGAACAGGCGAGGGCTCGGTGTCGCAGCTGAGCCGCGTGTGCCAGGCTGTGCAGCAGAGCCGCCAGTGTCTGCTGGTGCCGAGACGACGCACCATCGAAGAGCTGCTCGCCTCGCCTAACATGAAGGCCCTTAGCCCGCCCCTCGTCCCCGACACTGCACTCAGCTTCTACATCCAGGTGAATAAGCTTCTACATCCAGGTGACTCAGCTTCTACATACACGTGACTCAGCTTCTGCATCCATGACTCAGCTACCACATCCAGGTGAATCAGCTTTTACATCCACGTGACTCAGCTTCTACATCCACGTGATTCAACTTCTACATCCAGGTGACTCAGCTTCCATATCCAGGTGACTCAACTCTCAACGCCACTCCAATTTCAGCAGCTCAGATTTTTATAGATTATTCACTAGTTTCATGCTCTTACACTCTTATTTAAATATTTTAATACTATCTATTATTTTGTTTCCTTACATTATTTCCGAACAGTACTTCTGATATTAATAATATTTTAAATTATTAATACTAGAAAAAATCAAAGAATACCGTAGGTGATTAATTGCGTCCGTATTCGGGATAACCATTAATTCTGTTGATTTTGGANGAATATATAAATATATGCGCGTAAAGAATATACATTTTTTACGCGGTGTGTTCTCACGATATATCGCTTTTTTTTTACAATATTCGTTTATATTAAGGAAGATAAGTGTTTTTCAGCGATGTAATATGTAGAATTCTAGAGCTAGCTTCAACTTGATAATTTTCAAACTTATACAGATGAATTTCAAATCGAGGTTTGTGATTATCACAGAATGTTTACTCATCGCAGCTAAATATTCAAACAACGATGCTACAATTTCGAGTAAATATCTGGTGCTATGCTGCAATCTTAATCATTAAATCTTCGGGACATAATTGTTGAATAATTTTCTGTAGCTTCGCTACTCTGTTGTCACACGTAGTGTACGTTGGTCGCACTAGTAAACTCAAATATCTTCTTATTTACAGATCTCCGTCTTTTCTCAATACAAGGACTTCACGCCAGATTCTTGCAGCGTGTCCACCGTTTCCAATTAAATTAAAGGAACGTTTATCCAACGTACAGGAAATACCTACTTAATTTGTTGTATTAAAATTGTGTGTTTTATTAATTCTTCAGTTTAACTTATCATGTTGGGCGTCCGGGTTCCCTTACCGCCACGTTGGCTCCCCTATACACGCATGGTAGATGTTATCTTTCCTAGCATGGTAAATGACCAGTCATTCTACTCGGAAATGTTGTCCTACTCGAAGATTGACTTGGCAGTGTGAGGTGCTACTAGTCCAGTATATATATTATATTGATCGTGCAATCTATAAACGTAATAGTCATTATAGAATTTGGTTCGAGTAATCTATATACGTCGTGTGCTTTCTAAACAAGGTTAAAATGACGTCGTTAACGAAATGAGATTTAATTCATAACTTCATGGGACGGCTTTATTGGCGTTACTTCCGCCGCATTCGATGTCTCCGTAGCGATAATGGCTTGTAACTTGTCATGTGAGCTCAGCACTGATGATAGCTTTTAATATCTTAGTCATTCCATTTCATGTATCGTTGTAATCGTTATTCACAAACGCTGGATCTCGCTCTCATGTATGATAAAATAGTCATTTCGTGTCGAGGTATTTAGTTGCATAACTACTCAACGTTTTATGTGCGTATGCAGCTTAAAAATTAATTTATTCTGGCGATCTTACTTATTCGCATGTGATGTCATTTGTTATTTATAAGGCATCTCACTCACTGATGATGAGATTCGAAACAACTCTTCGGCTCTGAAAATTGATGTTAAGCTAGGAAAGCATTCCAATTTCAGCCGCTGTACATTCATTTCATGTCTATTTATTTCGTGTCCATAATTATTAACGCAAAGGTTACAGCCAAGTTTGAGCAACGATTTACTACTTAAAGATTCCAATGCAAGGATACAAACTTTCTTTAGGGTGTAGGCACCAATCATTGGAGATCCGTAGTAATTGTATTTCGCCTTGGTGTGTTATCGTAGATGTTAAGAAATGAATCTTACTATGTAAATAAGTCCGTTAAAACTAACCAATGAAAGCATAAACACAAGCAGATCTATTTATTTCCCTACTTCAGCGATAATTTCCAAAAGCTAGCGTGAGTTCACTTAGCTTTTGTATCTGTTCACTTCAGTTTTAATCTCGAGTGCCTCTGAATTCATGGTGCAATTTTTCGGATTATAACCGAATCCTTAGATTTAAGACGCAATATTACTAGGAAAAAAACTTTTTTTAATGTTTATTTTATGAAAACCATTACGCAGCTTCTCACAATTGTCGTCATAGACACCGCCGACATCTGAGGATAAACGAACAAGTGTTAACTGGACTTAATTGATTTTATATATTTTTTTTCCTATCGGACCGTCATTCAGTTATTAAATATACAATAATCATTACTAATAGCTGGGAGTGATTATCTCTTGGAAGTTTTCTTCTTGTTGACGGTGACCCCTGTAGCAGCCGCCTGCTCGGCTTCGTGCTGCTCCATGAGCTGCTGCAAGGTCTCCGTGGGAGCAGGAGCGTAGCGGGAGAACTCCATGCTGTACTCGCCCTTGCCCTGCGTCACCGACCGCAGAGCCGTCGAGTACCCGAACATCTCGTTCAGCGGAACCTGCAAGAAATTCAGCGACACGGTAGTAAAATTACGTTTTATAAATCCGGCGGGTATACTTGATGAAGTTGTTTTAAATTACTAGAAGAGTTGTTTCAAAGGACAAGTAGACTTTTTTCAAAGGATAAGTAGACTTATTTCAATGGGTTAGTAAAGTTGTTTTCTATGCTATCTGGAGTGATACATACAACGTACAAAACGCACATCGGTAATCAAAATTTTAATTTTATCGGCACAAATGTGTCACGATAATAATGCCAATTTGGTGTAAGTTATGAAATAATGAGAAATAACGCACAAACAACTACTATCTACTCCTTATATTGTCCGAGATCATGATTAGAATTCACATATAAGATTAAGTCTATTTTCCAGCCATGATAGAAAGTGCATGATGAAATTTACCAACAAAACTTTGAAAAGCCCAAATCTACTAGCCACAGATACCTACTGCTGCATATTATTTAGGAATCGATTAGAATATTCGAGGTAGTGCTAGGAGGTTCTTAGTGCAAATTTTTCTAATAGTTGCGCAAGTTTACACTCGGAATAATTGTAATGTACACATGAACAGACCTCAGCTTCAATGGTGAACCATCCCTCGCTAGAATCTGTGCCCTTGATGATGGCTTTTCGCCTGTTGAGGTGCGCCAAAATTGCTCCTTGCGACTCCGACGGGCCAGTTACCTCCACCTTCATGATAGGCTCCAAAATCTTCCACTTGCCCTCTTCGCAAGCTGAAAAGTGAAAGAATTTGTAAATAAATTTCATATTGTGTATAAATGATAGCCTCAATGTGTTGAACCAGCCGAGGATCCATTTTGGCCTTTTTGTTATCCAAGCTGTCACATTCTCAGTTTTGCATGAAAACTTTTTCGATAAAATGAAACGGAGATGAAAAATTAAGTAATCATAACGTCATCACACAACAAATTAAACATTTGAGGTTTTGACCAACTTCTGCTAAACATAAATGCACAAAGAATAAAAATTTAATCAAAAACGTAAATTTCATAGTCCTGAATTGATGAATGTAATTCATAATAAGAAAAACTTGCGAATGTCGTAAATCTATATTGAGTAAAACATTCGGTCATCTATCGAGTGAAACATTTAATTCTCAAAGCAAGACCTATCGAAAAAGTGTCACCCATAAAGAACGCAATTCCAAAGACTAAGTTTTGGAACATTCATTCGATAATCATTTTTTTCATCATTATCCGGCAAAATGACTGTAGCCTCGTTCTACATGATTATTGACTAACTTAGTCAGTCTGTGCCAGTGAAACGTGTTTTGTTCGATCAAAATGTTTTCCGCATGTCTAGAGTCGACTGCCTCTTAAAACCAAAAGTACGGATTCACTGGTGAAAATATAAACTATTGGTATCCTGGTCCTCGAAAAATTTCCAAGAATATCTTACTTTTATGCAACATCGCATGTTCCACAACTCAAGTGCCACATTCAGACCTTGTCTCATGGCTCCCATGGTGGCTTGGAAGAAGGCAAACTCGCTGGAGTCGACACAGTGCGAGGCGCCGTCTATGAGTCGGAACTTGATGCCCGAGACGCGGTGGCCAGTCAGCATGCCTGCCAAACAGCAAACGCATGGAAATTTCATGTTGTAATAATATGAGCATCAAGGTTGAGCGATTCAAGTAAGGAGAAATTAAGCAGCGAGGAGCAGCTATGGGCAAAAAAAATATGGCTACCCTGCTAAAAAATCATGAGAAGATGAAAAATTTCCCAACTCAAACGAAACTCATCGACAGAAGGGTATGCAAGTAAAATAAGAAGTTCCATATTGCAGGAAATTCTATCAGTAAACTAAATATGAATATTGCTGACCGATGACTTCGTAGGTATGAGGATAGACTCATGCATTGAGAAAATGGATATATCCAACATTTCTCGATTAAATACTTCTACTCAAATCATAACTAGCTTCTTTCTTGGCGTTTACGACAACTAATAATATAAATCTAATAGGTATTGAATTTTATTGTTGAACATTTTGGAAGCTCTATTAACCCCGCAAATATCAAGACAAAATTAACTGAATTAAGTAAAAAATTAACTAAAGCGACAACTGAACAAAATCAGTGAATCCAGACACACGAACCTTTCTCGCAGTAAGTCTTGAAACCTCTCTCAACTCCAGGCACGAACTGATTAGGAACTCCAGTGCCGATTGTTTCGTTAGTGAACTCAAGCTTGGTGTTCTTTTCCCCCTCGAGCGTCTCTATGATGCCCACGACTCGAGCATACTGCCCCGCGCCTCCTGTCTGTTTCTTGTGCAGATAGTCGTACTCGAAGGGCTCGGTCAGCGTCTCGCGGAATGCCACCTTCGGTTTACCCATGACGACTGGACAGTTGTACTCGCGCTCCATGCGCTGTCGAAGACAATGAGAAAATTAAGTGATTTATGTCGAGGGAAAATATAAGCGTAAGAAGAACATGAACCGTGTATCACTCACAAAGCGAATCTAGAGCAATCATTACTAGATGTCCTGAAACAATACCATTTTAATAGTAAGAAACTGAACTGGTTAATTTATTCATGCCTGTCTCTGAATAATTAGGTAATATGTGAGCCCTATTGGCGCAAAATATTAGTCAGTGAGAAAATTCGTTTCGGTGAGCCTCAAGATTCAGAAACTTCAACGTTTTCAACCTTGTTGAAAAGCCAGCATTTCTGCATTGAAATATTATTATTATAAACTGAGCCCTGAAAATGTAGTAGTAATGTTTCAACAGGCTACTCTGCTTAAATTTATCGAAGCTAATCGGTATCGATGTTTGTGACTCCAACAGAAATATGACAAATAATAAAAGTATCACTCAAGGAGCTTGAAAACCGAACAGGAATAAAAACTCAGTCATAACTCGGAGACCTCCGTCACTACCACTCAACATGGTTTGAACTTTCAATTGGAAGATTAATAAAGAGGGCGAAATTTTCTAAATAATGCACTATATATCTGTCGTGATTAGGCTCCCTTGGTAAAACACTTTCTGCCACCTAAATCCTGCTTGAACGGAAACATTCCTAATGCTGATATGGTTATTTATTGTAGTCAGGTCAAGCGACAGACATGTTTAAAAGTATCATAGGTGTTACATCCCAGTGTAAGCATTTACTGGAAAACGTGCATCAGTCACATTCGTTTATAGAGAATAAATTTTTGCATACCCACTAAAGTTTTACATCGTATGGAATCCTACCACCGTTTACTTTTCCTGCGTTCAAGGAAATTCTAGCTACCACCAATGCCATCTTTATATAAATGTAGCACAGTACATACATCAGCACATCCACGCCCATTTGCCTTGTTTGCTTCGACATGACATGTGGTGGTGAAAGCATCAGCGCTCATGGTTGAAATATATAAGGTTGAACCACGAGAATTTCCGTCCTTCAGTTCAGCTTTCTTATTACGTCACTGAGATCGCGAAACGTAAACAATCCTGTCATTCCCATGACGGATTAGTTGACTGATTTGATCGCATTTCGGTGAATGTTTAATGGCCGTGACGTCACTGAGATCAGTGACGTCACATGCGAACAACAAACTACATCCGCAAAAATTAGCTTCTCATGGGTCAACCTTATACTACTAGTTCAACCATGATCAGCGGCTAACCTGGCCGTAGACTTCGAGGTGCAGTTCACCCATGCCTGATGCGATTGTTTCTTTGCAGTCTTCATCCCAGGTGATGCGGTAGGTTGGGTCTTCGCGAGTGAACCTGCCGTCAAATACTGCATTGAAATCTCATTCGTATCAGATATAACGTTGAAATAAGGGCAAGGAATTCATCAGATAACGTTTCTCATTTACACATTAAATTTAGCAGAAGACAAGCAAAGGCAAAGATGACACAAGTGAAAATATATACATATATATATATATACATTTTACAGATACATATACTAGGACACAACATAACTCGTGCAAATGAACAATAGGACAAACTAATAATAATATGTCTTCTAAGTAATGAGATTTACCTGTTGCAAGCCTTGGCGAAGTTGTCCATGTCTTTGTTGTTTTTAGGCTTAATGGACATCGCGATGACGGGGTCGGGTATGAACATCGTCTCCTGCAAGAGCGAGAACATCGTGAGATGATGACGTTTCAAGTACATCGGATTCATTGATGTTATTATCATGATGAAGGAAATAATAAATAAGGAAAGCATTATAATGCAAAGTTCAGGTAAAAAATTAAGTGGAGAGAATTCAGGGTAAAGCAAAGAACGCAAAAAATGTAATAGCTGGTACTGCGTTTATCTATGAACTAAACAACAAATCAACAAATTAGATGGAGAAAAAACATGAACAATCAAAGTTGAAAGCCATACAAGCTTTCAACTGTGTGTGTGTATCATTCGAACCTTGTTCGAATGATACAAGCGGCAATTATCTTGGTTTGTTTTTCATAAAAATGCCAATTAGTAGAGCCATTGCTAAGCACTAACCAAGGAGATGTTAGACTTGTTGTTGGACAAAAATGTGTCACCAGACGCGCACTCGACGCCAAAGAGCGCAACGATGTCCCCGGCAAAAGCCTCTTTGATTTCCTCCATGTTGTTGCTGTGCATCTGAGCCAAGCGGTTTACTCGAATCTGAAAATAACTTCAATTTTAATTTTTAATTTTGTAATTCTAATTACAATTAGATTATTCTAATTACAATTAGGTTTTAATTCTGTAATTCCAAGTTCAAAATTATCCTTCAATAAGCTGGACTTTCTCATGATAGTAATCGGTTCAGGTGAGTACAACGGTGCATTTAATAGAGACAAGCAACTACGCCGTTTTTACAGCCCAAGTGGGGAATTTTTACCATTTTAGGTTACCCTGACGTGAATTCTTTCGAAAATTTGCAGCAAAATGTAAAATAAATATTATTTGTTTAATGACGAATTAAAAATGCCGCATTAAATGTGGTGAAGGATGATCTTCATTCACTTCATAACCAAGCTCATAAATAAAGTAACGATGTGCCATTCCTTATTCAATTTTCCTTAGGACAACATCGCATAGTAAAGTGAACATATCCCTAAAACATGATGATAATAACTTAACTCTGTTCCAAATTCCACCTTCGTGAGTTACAAACTCGTTAAAATTAAACAAAAATCTTATTGTAAATCAGGTAAATCAGAACACCAAAATTCATTGACTTCAACTGTGTTGTCAGATCAAAGAATTTAATGTACCACAACATTCAGCAGACGGGCAAGGTTTTCACCTCACACTAGAATGCAGTGATATCAATACAGAAAATAAATAAAGATATCAGTAGAAAACCTTCTTGCCGGTGCGCGCGTTGTAAAGACTGTCCCCCTTGCTGACGTGTCCTTGGTAAACTCGCATGTATGTCAGCTGACCAAACTTGCCGGCTTCCAGTTTGAAGGCCAAGCCAACGAACGGGTGACGACTGCTGCGCTCTCCATCCATTGCTACTTTCTCTTCCCTGTGAGAGGGGAGAAAACCTAGCATCATGACTTGACGGAGGACGACGAAGGCGGCGCATCAACATGGCTTTGGATCAGGGAAGTCCTAAACTTGACATACGAGTATAGGTGTGAAGAAAAACTCGCCAGCTATCATCTTGAGCAGTCTCGTATTTGAGGCTAAATTAGCACGCCCCTTCAAGCGTGCCTGAATCTTAGTTCTATCACTTGTATTGTCTCAATCTAAAGCTTACAACTAGATTTTGAAATCAAAGAAAATAACATTTAAACTGTAAATTTCTCATCATCTGATGAGAAATATATATAAAGCTCATTTTTGAGCTGTAAATTTCTCATCATCATCACATTCTCATCATCCAAAAACAAACTGAAATATTCTACTCTTCACATTTCTTCACAACACACAATATTCTACTCTTCACAACAAACTGAAATATTCTACTCTTCACATTTCTTCACAACACACAATATTCTACTCTTCACAACAAACTGAAATATTCTACTCTTCACAACAAACTGAAAAATTCTACTCTTCACAACAAACTGAAATATTTTACTCTTCACAACAAACTGAAATATTCTACTCATCACATGTCTCCGCTCACCGACAAGACGCACTTGCCGTCAGAAGTTTTCCTGAGGGCGTAGTTGATGACCTCGCCGGGGTGTGGGAGGTACTGGACGACGGCGTCCAGCAGCGGCTGCACGCCTTTATTCTTGAGCGCCGTGCCCAGGAAGACGGGCGTGAGGGCGCGCTGCAGAACGCTGCGTCTGATCCCCGCCATCAGCTGCTCTACAGTGGGCGTCTTCTCCTCTGTAATTAGGACGAGTTTGTGCTCAGTTGCTCTCTTGATTAAAACGTTGCCTTGCATATCAAATTTAAGGAGCAAGAATCAATAGCAAAGCATACAGCACAAGTTCTGAATGTATTATGTTTGAAATGCTCGTTCAAGATAAAATTATGTATTCACCTCTTCTCATAATATTCGGATGACAATATCCCGTCATCCGAAGTCATACCAGTCATATTCAGAAATGAGCCGAAAACTTGATTCCTATCAAGTTTTCAGTTGTTCTCTTGATGAAATTAATTGTACGTCTGATACTTTAATGTTCTTCCCATTCCTTCTATTTAGTATTGAAATGGAAATGATTTCAGTTACTCACAATTTTATGAAATTTCTTAATATTATTACTAATTGACCTTAGACGCATTTCATTTTAATGCACGATTACCTAAAGTATGGCTATAATACTTCAATTTAAAACGAGTTTTCATACCAAATGAATATCTAATCAGATATCTGTCGAAATGAATATCACTTGATAACTGTTGTAACCCAGTCACCAAGCAATTGTTGGTTTAGTTTATATTGGTCGAGAATCAAACCAATTTAATTTGTTGGCTTAATACCATCGTACCCCGCCTATATGCATATAAGCTGGCGCTTCAAACTAATAATTTCCCTAATCACATTTTATCGATAAAATTTGTCATAATTATCTTGACACCAAACATTATTTCGGGTCATCTGAGATGTTTTATTTAAAAGATGTCGATTTTGAAGGAGGTGGCTGTACCAAGGAACATCTCGCCGATCTCCTCGTCTGCGTTGGACACCGCCTCGATGAGCTCGTGCCTGCGCTGCTGCAGCAGCTCCTGTAGGTGCTCCGGTACTTCGCCCTCACGAACCTTCTCGCTGTAACATGGGCTGTGTTACTAGGTATACAAAGGGAACGGCACTGTGTTACTGTATAAACAAATAGGTAAAACTGCAATGTGGTAATATAAATACAAATAAAACGGCACTGTGTTCATATAAATACAAATGAAACGGCACTGTGCTACTATAAATACAAATAGGTAAAACGGCATTGTGGTAATATAAATACAAAAATACAAATGAAACGGCACTGTGTTCATATACATGCAAATGAAACGGCACTGTGTTACTATAAATAAAAAAGGAACGGCACAGTGTTACTGTATATACAAATTGAACGTCACTGTGTTACTGGACATTCTAAGACAACGGCACTCTTCGACTATGTACATAAATTAAACGGCATCAATCGCCACGAGTGTTAAGTAATAATAAGGTTATTCCATGAAATGTACTCAATCAACGAACAAATGATAGGCTGTACTGTGATTAAAATGTGACGGGAAGTCAGCTCCATAATGCGTTCGACAATTTGGGAATTTTCTGTCGTTAAATAATAGTACCGGTACCGCAATTTAAGTATTTGTCCAATCATTTGGTATCTTGAAACTCCTTGCAATGTTAAATGCGTCATTTTGATTTACTCAGATACAGTGTGCGACCAATGCACAGTTATAACGTTGGAATTGCATAACAGAACATAATGATGTTTATACTTGAAGATGTCTGTAAACACGGTCATTGATTACAGTCTATAACCCACAGTTGATGAAGTTCACACGTTAAATTTCAAGCAATAACTTTATAAATTTTAATATCTAATTAACCTTTCACCCCTTGAATTTATATACACTTATATATACCGTATATGACAATTTTTTCTCAAAAGAAATTCTGAAGAAATTTAAGACATTAGTTTCGTTCGTAGTAGGAATCAGATCGTCGAAAAAACTAATTTGAAATTATAAGTCATGAGACAAAAAAACATCAGCAGAATCAACAGTTAGTGTGAATCCTGTTGAGTCACCCATTCGTGCCCTCGAAGTAGAGGGCTTTCCCCGTCAGCACATCCACGACGCCCTCGCAGTCCCCCTCTAGCCCGATGGGTATCTGCATGAACGCCGCGTTGTGGCCCAGCTTCGACCTGAGCATAAAAATATAACTCAGTACTCACTGCAGTGAGTGACAGAGAGCGCACTTTCTCGTCGACGAAAACGTGAAGTCACAAACGGACAGACAGACAGACAGACGGACATGGCAAGCACAATACCTAGTGCATTTTTTTCATAAATGAGAAAATGCGCTAAAAAGCATTGACTTCATGACCAGAAAACCAGACAAACATTACCAGGTTTGTCTGGGGACTAAACGAATATGTAAACCGGAAGAAGATACCAACATTACAAAGTTAATCGAATCACGAGAACGACATGAAACTGTTGTTTTCAATATTTTAAATTACTCTTCAATCTTAACGATAATAATGCTATAATTTACATACTTCATGTATAAATGAAAATGCAGGGTCCGAGTTTCAAGAAAATAGGAAAACATAAATAAACTTAACACATATCATTGCACAAACAAGAATTTAAACCATTAAAACTATTAGTTTTGTTAATTTTCAATAAAATAGTTTCAATGAGCTTCAAGAAAATAGGGAAACATGTATTAAAATAATACATATCATAGCACGAACAAGAATTGAAACAATTAAAACTACGAGTTCATACCTGATCTGCCGGAAGACACGGATGGGGTCAGCGCCCTGCCTGTCCAGCTTGTTGATGAACGCCAGCACCGGCACGTTGTACCTGAGATTGCCAGGTATAAACACATATACTCATAACTGAAGCCAATTGTTTTGATTCAATTTAATAAATTATTATTACTCCACAATTTGAAAAATTTTTTGGTTCGTGAAATGACTTAGAAAATCAAGTTTACAAATTACCCCAACTAAGAAACCATCAAAGTAACAGTGAAACATAGAGCACAAATTCTAAACGAATGATGTTTGAAATGCTTGTGCAAGATAAAATGATGTATTCACCTCTTCATTTGCCTGTTGACAGTAAGTGTTTGTGACTGCACGCCGCCAACCGAGCAGAGCACCAGCACTGCTCCGTCCAACACACGCAGCGCTCGCTCCACCTCTACAGTGAAGTCAACGTGACCTGGAGAGTGACCATTAACTTATTAGATGATGCACAATGAATACAGGAAACTTGCTACTTAGTGATGTATTTTTTTCACATCACAATATATCTTCATAATAAGAGCCTGCATTACTTTCATCAACTCCATGTAACATTCAGGATAGTTATGCCGGATGAGAGGAGTGCTTGTTCTCTCGAACAGCCTGTAGCTTTACTGAATTGAATTTATAGGTAGCAAGACAACATGAAAACTGGCGTATAAATAGTCTAGGCACCAATGAAAACGTTGCAATGATGTTTGAAATGCTTGTGCAAGATAAAATTATGTATTCACCTCTTCATTTGCCTGTTGACAGTAAGTGTTTGTGACTGCACGCCGCCCACCGAGCAGAGCACCAGCACTGCTCCGTCCAACACACGCAGCGCTCGCTCCACCTCTACAGTGAAGTCAACGTGACCTGGAGAGTGACCATTAACTTATATGCTGCACAATGAATACAGGAAACTTGCTACTTAGTGATGTATTTTTTTCACATCACAATATATCTTCATAATAAGAGCCTGCATTACTTTCATCAACTCCATGTAACATTCAGGATAGTTATGCCGGATGAGAGGAGTGCTTGTTCTCTCGAACAGCCTGTAGCTTTACTGAATTGAATTTATAGGTAGCAAGACAACATGAAAACTGGCATATAAATAGTCTAGGCACCAATGAAAACGTTGCATTGCATATCAAATTTAAGGAGCAAAAGTTGCATGAGTAACCAAAATTGGTACAATAATTAGGTACAAAATGGCATAATATAAATCAAGGAAACATAGTTGTGAAATAATCTGCATAAATTGATCAGTTTACTATCAACACTTTGAGCCGCAAAAAGACTAGAGAGACAAGAGGGAGTTATTGTAGTAACTGCCTATCCTGGTAGAGACAACTAAGTAAGGCGGGGGTGATAGGTTAGTTTTTCATCGCACTAAGGCCACAGATTTTTTTTATGGGCAAAACTATGAGTTATGACCATCACCAACTTGCTGACCTGCCAGAACCATTTTTGCATTACACAACACCCTTGACAAGCCAGGTACTTATTTATCAATCAGAATTGGGTTAAAGGCTGTGTTGGCCAAGATCTGACCTTCCCAAAAGAACCAACTTGTCCCGAGTGGGACTTAAATTTGGGTCACTGGGTACGAGAGAGCCTCTCACCATTGCAGCTTAAAAGAGAGTTAAATAATTTTTTCACTCAAACACAAGTTGATTCAGTAATTAATAGCAATTTACACCTATAAATATCAGAATTATACAGTTGTAATGAGCATTAAAAAATTGTGTATTAAAGTAAAGTAGTTGTGGCATCACTGGTTTACAGGGGCAATTAAAAATGACAATAACCTTAGGTTGACTGTAGATCATTTATAAATAACAGTGAAGTACCTGGGGTATCAATGATGTTGATGTTAATATCTTTCCACATGGTGTAGGTGGCAGCACTCTGAATGGTAATGCCTCGCTGCCTCTCCAGCTCCATGCTGTCCATCACTGCACCAACACCATCTTTCCCTCGTACCTGTAATTATTTCCCACATTAAAATTAGTTATACCTACCTATAACATATTTTTAATGTTGATTATTAAAATGAAATCCACATATAATTATGCAATTAATGTTCCAATGAATTAATATGACATATTTTTTTGGCTATCCAGCAAACGCTACAATTGTTCTTCAACAAACACTAAATTTTAATTAGATTAAACACCACCAGTTAGATGATTCTATACCATTCTCTAATTAAAAGTTAATAGGATTACTTGAGTTTAATTAATACAATTTATAAACACTAAAAAGAGATTATTTAGAACATTTTGAGCAGGCTGAAATATTTTAAAGAAGGGTGAAACAGGCTTTCAAACAGTAAGTAGGTTGTTGAAATTTCAATTTGTAAGTAACCTTGAAGCAGTGAATAATCATTATCAGAGTTAAGTATATTTAATTAATTTTCACCATACTAAATAATCTAGTTTATTATACCTCATGCATCTGCTCAATTCGTCCAGTGTAGTACAGTATCCTCTCAGTAAGGGTAGTTTTCCCTGAGTCAATATGAGCAGAAATGCCGATGTTGCGTATCTTCTCAATCTGTAGTGCTGCATTATCAATTTTGGAGCTGTACAACCTCTGTTGCGACAGGCTTTTCTGCAAAGAAAACAAGGACATCACAAATACATTTTGCCAATAATTTTGAAAATGACCACTGATAGATAATAAATTCTTAATCAAATTGGTTATAGTAGCATTTTTTGAAAGGTACAAAAAATTTCTCAACTAGACCAGAAATTTACAAAAGGAATATCTGAAGTTTTCCTAAGAATTAGTCTGCATTTATTTACTTACCAGTGCCAAGGAATAAAGAGGAATAAATGATGGTCTTGATAGAGCTGAAACAACAGCAGGAACTTTCAAATGAGGAAGGCATGAAATGCTAAGAAACATTTTTGAAATAAGAAGAAATAAAAATAACCTGGAAATAGTTTTCTATAGCGTTTGACTGTAGAATTTAGCCTAAAATATTTTTGAGATTCTGGAAGAAGACAAAGAGCAATAAGTTATCTTTATTTTTATTACCACGTTTTTCTTAGCTCGCATTCGTGTCTGTGATGATCAAATCTTGCAATCGATATTTCACCAACTTTCTCATTAGCTAGCGCTCTGAAACTTTTAGGGAAGCTCAGCTCCCGATAACAATACAATAATCAATAATTTGTTGCACGTTTCCAGGCGTATAAACTCTAAAGGAACTCACAAGCAGGGGTTGGAACCTTTAATGCACGTCATCCTCGAGAGG